CAGGCAGGAAGCTAGCCAGCCGGAAGACTGGCGCTCCCCACCTGCGGCTCCCTGTGCGCCGGAAGCCCTCCTTCCGGGGAACCACAAGGTTGGGAGTGAGTCGCCAGTCCAAAGACCCAAAAAACCGGCACTCCCCGCCCGAGGCTCCCCGTGCGCTGGGGTCCCACCCTCCGGGAGCCAGCAGGCAGGAAGCTAGATACACAATTGAATTTGGTCATTAAATCTATAAACATTTTAGTGGAATTTTGGGGGTCTTCTGTGTAGAGTATCAAGTCATCTGTGAATAATGATAATTTCACTTCTTTTCTGATCCTTATTCATTTTATTTCTCTCTTTTATGCTCTGGTTAATATTTCCAGAACTATATTGAATAAGAGTGGTTACAGTGGACATTCTTGTCTTGTTCCTGATTTTAAAGTGAAACCTTTCAGTTTTTGTCCATTTAGTATGATGTTGGCTGTTGGTTTGCCCTAGATAGCTTTTTATCACCATGAGGTAAAGACCATCTATTCCTATTTTCTGCAGGGTTTTTATCATGAATGAATGTTGAACTTTACCAAAACCTTTTTCTGAATCTACTCAGATGATCATGTGAATTTTGTCTTTGGCTGTATTGGTATGGTGTTTTACATTATTTGATTTTCATATATTGAACAATCCTTGCATTCCTGGGATGAGTTCTACTTGGTCATGATGCAAAATTTTCTTGATGATTTGCTGCATCCTGTTTGCTAGTATTTTATTGAGATTTTTTGCATCTATGTTCATTAGGGACTTTGGCCTGTAGTTCTCTTTTTTGGTTGGATCTTTCTCTGGTTTTGTTATCAGCATAATACTTGCCTCCAGGAATAAGTTGTGGAGAATTCCTTCCCTTTCAATTTCATTAAAGAGTTTGAGAAGAATTGGTGTTAAATCTTCTCTAAATTTCTTGTAGAATTCAGCTGTGAATACATCTGGACCTGGGCTTTTCTTTGTTGGTAAGTTTTTTATTACATTTTCAATTTCATTGACTAATATTGAATTATTCAGGATTTTAATGTCTTTGTGATTCAGCTTTCATAATTCATATGTATCTAGGAATCTATCCATTTCCTCTGCATTTTCCATCCTATGAAAGTAAAAATTTTCAAAGTAGGTATTGGTGGTCTGAATTTCTACAATATCTGTAATGATTTTATCCTTTTCATTCCCTAGTGCAAGAATTTGAGTTTTTTCGTTCTTTTCTTGATACAGTTGGCTAAGGGTTTATCAATTTTATTGATTTTTCAAAGAATCAACTCTTCGATTTATTAATTCTTTTATTTTTTCTTAGTCTCCATTGCATTAATTTCTGCTCTGATCTTTATAATTTCCTGCCTTCTTTGGGCTTTGTACTAGACTTCCTCTTCCTTTCTCTAATAGCTTGATTTGCAGCACAAGATTGTTTATTTGTGCTCTTTCTCTTTTCCTGATGTGGGAATTCATCACTACAAATTTCCTTCTGAGAACTGCTTTCATTGAGTCCCATAGGTTCCTGTAAGTTGTATCTGCAGTTTTGTTTGATTGAAAATATTGTTTAATTTCTTCTTTAATTTCATCCATGCCCCATTTATTGTTCAGGAGGGTATTATTTAATTTCCATGTGTTTATGGAGTTTTTGTAATTTCTTTTGTCATTAATTTCCAGTTTCATTGCACTATGGTGCAATGGTATGCATGGGATAATTTCAATTCCTTTGCATTTACTTAAGCATGTTCTGTGGGCCAGTATATGGTCTATTTTAGAGAATACTCTCATGTGCACCTGAGAAGAACGTGTATTCTGATGTTGTTGGGTGGAATGCTCTGTAAATGTCTACTAAGTCCATGTGTTCACAAGTTTGGTTTATCTAGATGATCTATCTCCTTGTGACACTGGGGTGTTAAAGTCCCCTGTTATGGTTGTGTTACTGCTTATTTGATTTTTCACATCTGTTAAAATTTGTCTTATATAGTTGGGTGGTCCTATAATTGGTGCATAGATATTTATGATTATTATCTCTTCCTTTTGCAGTTTTCCCCTAACAAGTATGTAGTGATTTACTTTATCCCTTTTGATTATTCTTGGTTTGAAGTTTACAGTGTCTGCAAACAGAATAGCTACTCCTGCTTTTTTCTTGATTCTTGTCAAATAGAGTATTGTTTTCCAATCTTTGACTTTAAGTCTATGAATTTCCTTTTGAATTAAATGTGTGTCTTCTGTACAGCATATTGTTGGATTTTTTTTTAATCCACTCTGCTAGTATCCTTCTTTGGACTGGTGAATTGAGACCATTTACATTGATGATTGTAACTGACAAGTATTGGCTTATCTTTGTCATGTTATTTTACCACTGTTGGTTCCATACTTTTCCCCTCTGTTTCACTGCTTGCTCAGCTTGATGATTCCTTTCTATCATTGTTCTTGAAATTGTGGTCATTTTGTCTCTTTCTAGAATATCTTTTAGTACTCTTTGTGGGATTGGTTTGGTGCTGATGAATTTCTTCCGTTGTTCTTTATCATGGAAATATTTTATTTCTCCATTAATTTTGAAGGATCATTTTGTAGGTTACATCAATCTTGGTTGGAAGTTATTTTCTTTCTGGGCCTACAGTACATCACTCCAAGCTCTTCTTGACTTTAGGCTTTGTGTTGAGAAATGTGTTGTGATTCTGATGGGTTTTCCTTTATAGGTGATCTGTTTATTTTCTGTAACAACTTTTAATATTATGTTCTTTTACTGAATTTCTGGGATCTTGATTATTACATGTGCAGGTGTAGATTTATTTTGGTTATGGCCAAGTGGAGTTCTATATTCCTCATTTAATTGTATGTCAGATTCTTTTTCCATGTTTGGCAAGTTTTCTGCTATTACTTCTGCAAATATTCTTTTTATGTCATTTATGTTGACTCCTGCTGTCTTGTTGACACCTATTAATCTTATATTGGTTTTTCTGCATCATTTTGCAGCAGTTGAATTATTATTTCCTGGTTCCTTGTTATTTTTAAGAGATCTTTCCTTTCATGATTATTAGCTGCAATGCTGTCTTCAAGGTCTGAAAGTTTATCTTCATCTTTGTTCATGTGGTTTTGCCAGGTTTCAATGCAATTTTTAATTTCCTGGATATTTATTTGAATCTGTTTCATGCAGTTGAAGTCTTTCTTATACTGTTCATTTAAGGTTTCCATCACTTTTCTGTTCCCTTTGTTTTTTTTAATCTGTCTTCTTTAAGTCTGCTGGGCAGTTCTTCCATTATTGTCATCATTTCTTTTTTTACCTGAGAGATTATTTCTGATTTGACATCTTCTGTGGCCTGATGGAGTTATTTCTTTACTTCAGTTGCTATCATTTCAGAAATTTCAGGTGTATGACTTTAAGTTCTTCTGTGTTGATGTCTCCTGGACTTGTTGTAGGTGCGGTAGAGGTCTGAGATTGCATTTTGCTCCTTTGTTTTGTCATTTCTGAAGATCCATAGGTTCCCTAGAGGGCAGCCTCACTCCCAGGATAGTGTGGGAGTGGTAGGGCAAGGATCCTAAGGTCCCTGGTGCTCAGTGTGGCTCCTGCAATCATGTGTGTGAGTGCGATGGGGTCACTGATGCTCTGGAAGCTTTTTAGGTCTCAGCTGGCTCCAACCCATATTGAAAGAGGGGTAGAGGCAGCTCACAGATGTTCCCAAAGTTGGCCGGGATCAGCTTGGCTCCCACACGAGGTTCCCAAGCTATCTGTGCCTCAGCCTGGCTGCCACAACATGCAGGGGATGTGGGGCAGGTCACTAAAGCCCTGAAGCTGTCCAGGGCTCAGCCTGGCCCCATGCCTATAGGGGAGGATCAGTGATATCTTACCAAGTTTCCCAAAACTGTCCTGGATTCAGTGCAGCTTCCACACAAGGGTTCTGAAGTTGTCCAGGGCTCAGTCCTGCTCCTGTGAGGTGCAGTGGGTCCAGGCATGGTCACTGAAGCTCCTGAAGATGTCCAGCTCTCAGCTTGGCTCCCCTAGTTACCTTCTTTGGCTGTTTCTCAATATCCTTTTCAATTAGATGTTCTAACCAAACACTGAAGGAACTGTGAATAATTTAATTTCTGTAATATTAATATCTGCTCAATCTTTCTATAGTGTCTGTTTCAGTCCATTTTGTGTTAGTACAACAGAGTACCTCAGACTGAGTAATTTATAAGGAAAAATTTGTATGTCAGTATTATACAGGATGCAAATTCCAATATCAAGATGCTGGCATCTGGCAGGGGATTCTTGCTGTTACATTTTGTGAATGGCAAAGGAGGGCATTGCACTCACTTTTCTAACATGCCCATTCTTAGGAAGACAATGCTATTCCTACAGTAATAACATTAATCTATTCATGAGGGCACAGCCTTGTGTACATTTCTTAGAGATTTTAGCACAGTTGCACTGGGGAATAAATTTTCAGTGCATCAACCTTGAGGAATGCATTTAAATGAGAGAAGTGCCTGAGAACATGTGATACAGTCCTAGGAACTACTATCATGGCAGACATTGAATAACAGCAAAATCATTTTATGTACCAGCATGAACACTCTAAAAATGATTACCAGAGAGATTATTTCTCATTCATTTTCTCTAGCAACACAATGTCATATGAATGAGAAACAAAGGTATTTTTTGAAATAGAGACCCTTGTATCCAAGTTCTTTGACCAATATTTTCACTTCTGATGCTCTATGCAGCTTTGGTCCTATTGGGCAACCCTTTGTAGAATGAGAAAATAATGTTTTCTTCCTGTCCTTTTGAAGCTGAGAGACCTGATGGGATATGTGCTGTCCTCAGCATTCCTGGGGAGAGAACCACAGATAATGACAGTGGTGCCTGCAGGTCATTAGATGATGTCTCAATCAACCAGCTGTTGTTTTTAGCATGGTCCTGTGATTGGCTAAGAGAAGATGGCATGTGACTAGCATCATGTGAGCAAGAATCCTTTTGATTATGTAGCTCATTGCTGGTCAGATGAAAGGGTTAAGTGCTGGGAGGTGGAGGGCGACTCTGCATGTCCTTCACCTGGTTAGAATCTCATAGAGAAGATTCCAGAGTTTTTATTCCAACACGATTTCCAACAGCTGCCAAAAAAAGAAGCAGGTGTTGCCTAATGACAGAACCACTTCAAGATTACAAGCTACATGGTATGAAAAACAATAGTTAAAGGAATTCATGTATGTTTTATTTATTGATTTATTTATTTACTTACTACTTTTGGTGCCAGGAATTGGACTCAGGACCTTGCACTTGCCAGGCAGGCACTTGTGCCACTGAGCTACATCCCCAGCCTCTCATGTGTGCTTTAAAATCGATTTTATTTGCTTCTTTATGTTCTATTATAGTTTCTATGATTCTTTAAAAGTTTACTTCTCGTGTTATATTTAAGTTCTGTGATGCTCCAATTTTATTCTTTGTGTTTGAACTTTAAATGAGTGCTTCCACTTTTCAATGTATTGTTAAGCCAATTTAGAGATATTTGGGAAGTTTATAATGGCATTTTTTCCCTTAAATGTTTTAATTTAGGGTTCTTCAAAATTTGTACCATAAGCTCCTGGAGATTTCCGAGATTCTCTTAGGTTGCTGCACTTAAAACTGTTTCATAAGAATGCTAAACATCATTTTCCATTCCACACTATTAGCATTTGTACAGACAGAGCAAAAAAATGATTATAACTACTGATACCATAGTGTAAGTTATAACAAATTTTGTATCAATTAGTGAGAATAAGCTGTCAAGCATCAGTATATTTGTTGCCTTCAAGCATTCACAAGAAAAAGAGAAATTTTTATTTTACTTAGTACTGCCCTTGATGGAGCAGTACAAATTGTTACTTTATTAAATCTTGATCATTGAGAACAGATCTTTTTTAACTTGCTGGGTGACAAAATGAAAAGCACATGTAAACACTTCAACATACTGAAATACAATAATTGATTGTCTGGAGGAAAGTTCTTAAACATTTGAGTTGAAAGATGAAATAGCTAGATATGATTTAGCATCATTTTTTTCTTGAACAAATTCATCACAAATCATGATTATAGACTTACATAACCATTTCTACCCCATCTCATGATCCTTTTTCCCTTTGATGAGATCTATCTTCCTACTTTCTATTATCTATCTTTTATTTTGCCCTATATTTAACTTTGTATTTCTCATATCAGAGAAACCACAGAACATTTAATTTTGTGTGTTTGATTTATTTCATTTAACATTATGATCTCAAATTGCATCCATTTTCCTGCAGATGCCTCAAGTTTATCTTTTTATGGCAAAATAGTACTCCATTATGTGTAAAACTATGCATTTTAAAATTCATTTCTCTGTTGAGGGACATACAGGCTGCTTCCAAGATTTAGCTATTCTGAATTGTACTGCTATAAACATGGATATGCATGAGTCACTGTAACACGGTGTCCTTAACTCTTTTAGGGAAGACACCTACAAGGAGAATAGCTAGGTCAAATGGAACTTCCAGTTTTAGTTTTTTGAGGACTTTCCATACTAATTTCCATAGTGGTTGCACTATTTTACATTTCCACTAAACAATGTAGAAGAATTTCTTTTCTGTCTATGACCTCAGCAGCATTCATTATTATCCATTCTTTCTTTTTTTCTTTCTTTCTTTCCTTCTTTCTTTTTTTCTTTTTTCTTGTTTTTGTATTTTTGAGACAGAATCTCACTGTGTATTTCAGACTGGCCTTGAACTCACTAGTTAACCTAAGTTGGCCTTGAACTCACAGTAATCCTCCTGCCTCAGCCTCCTTAATGCTGTAATTACAGGCACATGTCACTATGCCCAGCCTTATTTGATTTCTTGATGATGCCTCTCTTCCTGGGATAAGATAGAATCTCAGTGTTGCTTTAATTGGCATTTCTCCGATGGCCAAAGATATTGACCATTTCTTTGTGTATTTAGGGGACATTTGTACTTCTTTGTCTATTCCCTTTATTTGTCCAATTCTTGATTGGGTCTTTTATTTTGAGGTCCTAATTTTTTTTTTTTTTTTTTTTAGTTCTATAGATAGTCTAGACATTAGCCATCTTTCTGAGGAAGAGCAGTAAAACTTTTTCACGTTTTATAGGTTTTCTTTTCACTCTGTTGGTTGTAAAAATTATTGAAGTGAACCTGTCATTTTAAGGAATACAATAAATAACTGTTATTAGTAATAAACGTCAGACTTTCAAGTAAAACTTAGAATTGCTAAAAGTTTGTGCAATATCTTGTGAATTTGCCAGATTCCTAATTCTTAAAGCTTTTTTATAATGAGATTAATGTTTTACTGTATGATAGAATGTGTCAGCTTGTGGGAGATCTGGACAATTATATGAACTAAGTGAACTGATACTCTATGACTAGCCAGTGCTAAGTCACATATGGTAAAGGGTGGCACACACAAATAAGTTTTAAAATAATAGAGAAAAAAAGGGTGGAGAAGTAGGATAGTGGTTGAATACCTACCTATCATGCACCAGGCCTGGCATCAATCTCCAGTGGCCCCACCCCCACCCACATGCACACAGAAGAGTAAAAATCAATTTCATTGACATGATTTTAGGTTCTATCCCGAATTTCTACTACATATCCATGTGGAACAGGATTTTCTTAAAACCTATCAATCAAAACAACACATTTAAATATAGTGAATTCTAAAAGAGATGAACATTGACAGAATTGTTAATTTTTTGGCAAATGTAACCTCTAAAATAAAAATATGATATATAATTGTTTATTATGTCAAATAAATTAAAACATATTTTAAATTTCCTTATTTAAATTTCTAAAATGGAAAATGTCAATGGCTAACTCATACAAACCATACTCTTTTGAGTCCATAATAATTTTTAGAATTATGAAAGGCACTTGCAATGAAAACATGTGAGTACCTCTAATTTAATTCTTTACAAAGGAGAAGTCAGTAGGAACAAAAATATGAATTATTGGATATTAATTTATTAGAATTAAAGCTAGGTTAATTATATATAAATATATGTAAGCCCACAAAAATCTCACTTTTTCATTCAGTGACTCAGTCCATCCCATAGTGAACATCTAATAACTGTGCAGATCAGAAGTTTTAAAAAATACAGTGCTTGTGCTCTGAGTGGGATGTTTTGTCATAATGCTTATCTCTTATTGACAGGCACTTAGCATTACAGTTGTTTCCACGATCATGCTAAGGATCTTGAACAGTACATACTTGTCAATGATCAAGACTTTGCTCCTAATAAAAGTAGTCCTGCTTCTTTCCTTGGTCCAATAATTAAAATAGCAGAATTATAGTTACATTATAATAGAGAAAGGTATTGAAAATTATTTAGTCCAAGTTTTCTTTGGGCAAAGATAGAAATAGAAGCTCTGAAGCAGAAAATGTTAATGTAGTCTGTGGCTGCTTCTGGAAATAGAAGCTGGATTTCTAGTCAAATTTTTCTTTTAAGTTTTCTGCTAATTTTTCTGTATAGATTTTTATTTTCTGTTAAATATCTAATCTTTGATCTTGAACTCTAAATACTGAATTGTTATTTTACACCAATTTCCGAATCCTAATTTTTGAAACTTTTACCTACTCCTCCATCCACTAGGACAGCTCAACTGTGTGAAGCTAATGTTTTGAGGTACTAAATTAAATGTTGGTAAATTCAATGCTGAAAGTCAAATTTCAAACCTTAGCTTAATTTTGTATTGTCCCAGTTGCTGATATGATACATATTTTATATATAAATGGAGGCAGGATATATATATTGCCATTTAAACTAGTCCTTCAGAGGAAGAATACAGAGTTTACCAAAAAATTATACAAATACTTCAGAAGTTCACCATACTAATAAATGTCTGGAAGCTGATGCACACCACTTTGAGCACCTCTTGTAACTGTTGAGGCCAAAGGTAACTTGTACTAATTTCATGTTATCTCAATAAACTTAGTATTAAAATATTTATACAAGATTTTCTTTTCCTGAATTATGTATACATGTTTTGGTGGACTTTGTAGATTAAAAATATTTGAAGAGCTATAATTTGAGAACACTCTGAAGTTTACATCTAGAGAAAAAATATTGGTCAATTAGGAAAAAATATCTAATAGATACAATTTAAAGGGAAAAAAGTTGTATTTTGGTTTTGCAAATCAGAGATTTAATCCACGGTCAGCTGGATACAAGGCAGGACCACCATTGTGGAGGGCATGGTGGAAGATGCTACCCACCTTTTGACATCCACGAAACAGAGAGAAAGGGAAAGAGCCAGAGAAGAAGGGGCTGGGAACCACATGTGATTCCCAGGATTGTGGCGCTGTAGCCCACCCAGACACACCCAGAAGAGTCCTTTACCAATCTCCCAGATCTTTTAAACCAATTAACTAAAATTAACTATTCACAAAAGGTGGAGTAATGTAATCTCCAGTTTTTATGTCCTTTCTTTCACTTTTTCTTTATATTGTATTATTTTAACCATTTTCTTCTCTTCTATAGTCCTTGATCATTCATCCACTTTATTGCCTTAAAATACTGTATGAATTTTCATATATTAAAAAGATCACATTAGTTAAAGCATTGTGTGTTGCCAGCTTCACATATAAAATATTTAGCCTTGGGTGGGATTCAACATGGCTCAACTGAGGAGGCATTGCATTGGAGCTGCACAGAGAAAGTCAATTAAAACACAGGTAATTGGAAGACAGGGAGAAAGGGAGGCACATACATTTGACACCAAAATCAATCTGAAATATGAGACTTGTAGATCAAATGAAACATAAACATAAGACTTAATAAAATAGCAATGCAGGCCACAGGGCTGTGGTGGGTTTCCCACCTGTGGGTGGAGCAGAAAAAATAAAATAAGTTAAATTAAAATGAACAGACTGAAACAGTTGGGCTAACTCAAGGCACCCAGGATAGACTTGGGATACAAGGCCCCTTGCCTTTCTCCAAATAGGGAATGCTGCAGCCCAGCAGCAAACTCTGCTGGCACACACAGGAGTGAGGAAACTGCCATCTCTCTGATAAACCACAAGGTTGTTCTTTTTGTTTGTTCGTTTGTTTTGCCATGTCCCAGAGTGGCTAACAGGAACCTTCAGGGACAACAATATTAGAGACTGCGGTTGTGCTAACAGTGAAGGTAGTGAATGGAACAGCATGACCCCT